TTTTAAATAAAATTATTTTTGGTCAAAAATCAGTAATTTTGGCAAGCCTATAGCCTTACTTTTTCACAAAAAATCGACAACTTGTTAGGCCCAATTTTTATGTTAAATCGCATTCTTTTAGGTCAAGACTTTATTCAAAACTTTCTTCGCATCAAATGGAATGAAGAAAAGCAGCTTTTAGACAAAATTATTTTTGGTCAAAAATAAATAATTTCGGCAAGCCTATAGCCTTACTTTTTCACAAAAAAAGCAACAACTTGTTAGGCCCAATTTTTCTGTTAAATCACATTCTATTAGGTGAAGACTTTATTCAAAACTTTGTTCGCATCAAATAGAATGTAGAAAAGCAGATTTTAGACAAATTTATTTTTGGTCAAAAATAAGTAATTTTGGCAAGCCTATAGCCTTAACTTTTTCACAAAAAATCGACAACTTGTTAGGCCAAATTTTTCTGTTAAATTGCATTCTATTAGGTCAAGATTTTATTCAAAACTTTCTTCGCATCAAATAGAATGTAGAAAAGAAGATTTTAGACAAATTTTTTTTTGGTCAAAAATCAGGAATTTTGGCAAGCCTATAGCCTTACTTTTTCACAAAAAATCGACAACTTGTTAGGCCCAATTTTTCGTGTTAAATCATATTCTATTAGGTGAAGACTTTATTCAAAACTTTCTTCGCATCAAATAATATGTAGAAAAACAGATTTTAGACAAAATCATTTTTGGTCAAAAATAAGTAATTTTGGCAAGCCTATAGCCTTACTTTTTCACAAAAAATCGACAACTTGTTAGGCCCAATTTTTCTGTTAAAGCACATTCTATTAGGTGAAGATTTTATTCAAAACTTTCTTCGCATCAAATAGAATGTAGAAAAGAAGATTTTAAATAAAATTATTTTTGGTCAAAAATCAGTAATTTTGGCAAGCCTATAGCCTTAACTTTTTCACAAAAAATCGACAACTTGTTAGGCCCAATTTTTCTGTAAAATCACATTCTATTAAGTGAAAACTTTATTCAAAACTTTCTCCAGATCAAATAGAATGTACAAAAACAGATTTTAGAAAAAATTATTTTTGGTCAAAAATCAGTAATTTTGGCAAGCCTATAGCCTTACTTTTTCACAAAAAATCGACAACTTGTTAGGCCCAATTTTTCTGTTAAAGCACATTCTATTAGGTCAAGACTTCATTCAAAACTTTCTTCGCATCAAATAATATATAGAAAAACAGATTTTAGACAAAATCATTTTTGGTCAAAAATCAGTAATTTTGGCAAGCCTATAGCCTTACTTTTTCACAAAAAATCGACAACTTGTTAGGCCCAATTTTTCTGTTAAAGCACATTCTATTAGGTCAAGACTTTATTCAAAACTTTCTTCGCATCAAATAGAATGTAGAAAAGCAGATTTTAGACAAAATTATTTTTGGTCAAAAATAAGTAATTTTGGCAAGCCTATAGCCTTAACTTTTTCACAAAAAATCGACAACTTGTTAGGCCAAATTTTTCTGTTAAATTGCATTCTATTAGGTCAAGATTTTATTCAAAACTTTCTTCGCATCAAATAGAATGTAGAAAAGAAGATTTTAGACAAATTTATTTTTGGTCAAAAATCAGGAATTTTGGCAAGCCTATAGCCTTACTTTTTCACAAAAAATCGACAACTTGTTAGGCCCAATTTTTCGTGTTAAATCATATTCTATTAGGTGAAGACTTTATTCAAAACTTTCTTCGCATCAAATAATATGTAGAAAAACAGATTTTAGACAAAATCATTTTTGGTCAAAAATAAGTAATTTTGGCAAGCCTATAGCCTTACTTTTTCACAAAAAATCGACAACTTGTTAGGCCCAATTTTTCTGTTAAAGCACATTCTATTAGGTCAAGACTTTATTCAAAACTTTCTTCGCATCAAATAATATGTAGAAAAGAAGATTTTAGATAAAATTATTTTTGGTCAAAAATCAGTAATTTTGGCAAGCCTATAGCCTTACTTTTTCAAAAAAAATCGACAACTTGTTAGGCCCAATTTTTCTGTTAAATCGCATTCTATTAGGTGAAGACTTTATTCAAAACTTTCTTCGCATCAAATAGAATGTAGAAAAGCAGATTTTAGACAAAATTATTTTTGGTCAAAAATCAGGAATTTTGGCAAGCCTATAGCCTTAACTTTTTCACAAAAAATCGACAACTTGTTAGGCCCAATTTTTCTGTTAATTCGCATTCTATTAGGTGAAGACTTTTTCAAAACTTTCTTCGCATCAAATAGAATGTAGAAAAGCAGATTTTAGGCAAAATTATTTTTGGTCAAAAGTCAGTAATTTTGGCAAGCCTATAGCCTTACTTTTTCACAAAAAATCGACAACTTGTTAGGCCCAATTTTTGTGTTAAATCGAATTCCGATAGGTCAAGACTTTTTTCAAAACTTTCTTCGCATCAAATAGAATGTAGAAAAGCAGATTTTAGACAAAATTATTTTTGGTCAAAAATCAGTAATTTTTGCAAGCCTATAGCCTTACTTTTTTACAAAAAATCGACAACTTGTTAGGCCAAATTTTTGTGTTAAATCGCATTCTATTAGGTCAAGACTTCATTCAAAACTTTCTTCGCATCAAATAATATGTAGAAAAAAAGATTTTAAATAAAATTATTTTTGGTCAAAAATCAGTAATTTTGGCAAGCCTATAGCCTTACTTTTTCACAAAAAATCGACAACTTGTTAGGCCCAATTTTTATGTTAAATCGCATTCTTTTAGGTCAAGACTTTATTCAAAACTTTCTTCGCATCAAATGGAATGAAGAAAAGCAGCTTTTAGACAAAATTATTTTTGGTCAAAAATAAATAATTTCGGCAAGCCTATAGCCTTACTTTTTCACAAAAAATCGACAACTTGTTAGGCCCAATTTTTTGTGTTAAATCGAATTCCGATAGGTCAAGACTTTTTTCAAAACTTTCTTCGCATCAAATAGAATGTAGAAAAGCAGATTTTAGACAAAATTATTTTTGGTCAAAAATCAGTAATTTTTGCAAGCCTATAGCCTTACTTTTTTACAAAAAATCGACAACTTGTTAGGCCCAATTTTTGTGTTAAATCGCATTCTATTATGTCAAGACTTTATTCAAAACTTTCTTCGCATCAAATAGAATGTAGAAAAGCAGATTTTAGACAAAATTATTTTCGGTCAAAAATCAGTAATTTTGGCAAGCCTATAGCCTTACTTTTTCACAAAAAACGACAACTTGTTAGGCCCAATTTATTGTGTTAAACCACATTCTAATAGGGGAAGATTTGATTCAAAACTTTCTTCACATCAAATAGAATGTAGAAAAGCAGACTCTAGACAAAATTATTTTTGGTCAAAAATAAGTAATTTCGGCAAGCCTATAGCCTTACTTTTTCACAAAAAATCGACAACTTGTTAGGCCCAATTTTTGTGTTGAATCGCATTCTTTTAGGTCAAGACTTTATTCAAAACTTTCTTCGCATCAAATGGAATGAAGAAAAGCAGCTTTTAGACAAAATTATTTTTGGTCAAAAATAAGTAATTTCGGCAAGCCTATAGCCTTACTTTTTCACAAAAAATCGACAACTTGTTAGGCCCAATTTTTGTGTTATATCGCATTCTATTAGGTCAAGTCTTTATTCAAAACTTTCTTCGCATCAAATAGAATGTAGAAAAACAGATTTAATGCAAAATTATTTTCGGTCAAAAAAAGTAATTTTGACAAGCCTATAGCCTTAACTTTTTCACAAAAAATCGACAACTTGTTAGGCCCAATTTTTCTGTTAATTCGCATTCTATTAGGTGAAGACTTTTTCAAAACTTTCTTCGCATCAAATAGAATGTAGAAAAGCAGATTTTAGGCAAAATTATTTTTGGTCAAAAGTCAGTAATTTTGGCAAGCCTATAGCCTTACTTTTTCACAAAAAATCAACAACTTCTTAGGCCCAATTTTTGTTTTAAATCGCATTCTATTAGGTCAAGTCTTTATTCAAAACTTTCTTCGCATCAAATAGAATGTAGAAAAGCAGATTTTAGACAAAATTACTTTCGGTCGAAAATAAGTAATTTTGACAAGCCTATACCCTTACTTTTTCACAAAAAATCGACAACTTGTTAGGCCCAATTTTTGTGTTGAATCGCATTCTTTTAGGTCAAGACTTTATTCAAAACTTTCTTCGCATCAAATGGAATGAAGAAAAGCAGCTTTTAGACAAAATTATTTTTGGTCAAAAATAAGTAATTTCGGCAAGCCTATAGCCTTACTTTTTCACAAAAAATCGACAACTTGTTAGGCCCAATTTTTCTGTTAAATCACATTCTATTAGGTGAAGACTTTATTCAAAACTTTGTTCGCATCAAATAGAATGTAGAAAAGCAGATTTTAGACAAATTTATTTTTGGTCAAAAATAAGTAATTTTGGCAAACCTATAGCCTTGACTTTTTCACAAAAAATCGACAACTTGTTAGGCCCAATTTTTGTTTTAAATCGCATTCTATTAGGTAAAGTCTTTATTCAAAACTTTCTTCGCATCAAATAGAATGTAGAAAAGCAGATTTTAGACAAAATTACTTTCGGTCGAAAATAAGTAATTTTGACAAGCCTATACCCTTACTTTTTCACAAAAAATCGACAACTTGTTAGGCCCAATTTTTCTGTTAAAGCACATTCTATTAGGTCAAGATTTTATTCAAAACTTTCTTCGCATCAAATAGAATGTAGAAAAGAAGATTTTAAATAAAATTATTTTTGGTCAAAAATCAGTAATTTTGGCAAGCCTATAGCCTTACTTTTTCACAAAAAATCGACAACTTGTTAGGCCCAATTTTTATGTTAAATCGCATTCTTTTAGGTCAAGACTTTATTCAAAACTTTCTTCGCATCAAATGGAAT